ACAATACTCAGACAGTATCCTCACATGCTAACTAAGTGAACTGCCATTACTGCAATCTCCATCCCATTAAGGCTGCAAGCTTAGGCCTTTAGCAGATCTGCAGCTCTGCCGCCGATAAGAGTCCAAATCAACTCTGACATCACAAATCTGTAATCCTGCACATGCCTGGTGACCCGTGAAATAGGACTGAGTGCCTATTAGAACAGGAATTTTACTGAATGAAAATCAAATTGGTTAAGATATATTTTGGAATATTCAGATATAGTTAAATCAGCACATTTAATGTTATTTATTTAAGCTACTTTAGAGAAAATGTATGAGAAGATTAGCCTTTCAAAATTTCAGAGACCTGGAAACGCCCGGAATAAAAGCTGTATGCGGGCACTGAGTGTCCCCTTGGAGAGTGAAGGGTGTAAAAAGCTAGCATGTAAGTGTGGATGACAGGGTGGAGGATTTCTCAATATGCAACCCTGGTTTGGTGCTGAACACCTGCGGGACACTGTGTACCGCCTGACATCAAAGAGCACACACACACATAGTGAAAGCATACAGTGAAGAAGAGCGCTCCTTGTCCTCCCAATGTGGCTGTTCTTTCAGAAGCAGCATCTGGCACAAATCTCCCAGCAGCCCCTTTCCCGTTGGTGCAGCAACTGTCACCCATGCTCTATTCTTTCACACAGACAGATAAGGAAGTGCTGCAAATCTCCTTAAAGCCACCTCTTTATGCATGTGTGATCTCTCCTTTCATGCAGTAAAGCATATCACAGCTTCAGGTCAAGACCTCAAACAGTCCTCCATGATCAATGCCGAGGTGAACTCTCTCAGATTCACGACAGTGCACCCTTTAAACTTGGTTGCAAAGCATTTTTAAACTATGTGACCAATTTGCTTTGCACATCTTTTGCAGTTCTTTGACTGTGAAGGATTCTCAACTTCAAATGTTGCATATTAACTTTAATCTTATATGATAGCACTGCAAAAAACCCCAAAACATTTACAAGTCCAATGGGATCAGCCTTATGGAGGTTTTGCACTAAATGAAGGTGACTGATTGTTTTCTGTCAGAACAATCCTTACCTATACCTCAAATTAGAAAAAAAAAATGGTTAAAAGATACATTCTCACTAATGATGTGTCTGCATGTCATCAACGTGCTGAGTTATTGTTTTTGTCATTTGTTTACTAGACTTTTACATCTCCTGACCATGTTCCTTGGTCTATGAGTGAGTTGAAAGTGGCAGGCTGCCCACAGAAACATTACTTATTTGAAATTAAAACTATTTAAATGTCAGCTTTGCTGCACTGGTTTTGAATGTACTTTGGCAAAGCTTCTTACACACCAGGTCTCTCTTTGTCTTTTATTATTTTCTTTATCACTACCTCAGCCAAAAAGGTTGCGAGTCGGTTCAAGTATGTCTGACTGTCCGTCTGTTTGGCTGGCAAATGGGGCTTAGCCCAACTACACATTTTTCAAGTTCATTTAAATCAACATTTGGATCCAGGAATTTTTCGGAAGGATTCTTTAACCCTGAGGTAAAGGGTAAAAACTGTACATGTCACAGTGTATTTCCATAAATATATATAAATTTTCAATAAGAACATCTGAGAGACATTGTTTTAATATTCTCATGATGGTCTTTGCAAACATCCAGATATCCTGCAGGATTTGGGGGCTTAGTTCATGCATGATTATGGGATACAATTTCAGCCATGGTAGAGGTATGCATGACTGCTCTTGTTTAACTCTTATCCACCTTACCACTCAAACCTCTGCTCACATACCTGGAGATGGCTTACAGACACATACTGGGAATGTTTCTCATCTTTTCTCAACTGTTTCACCACATCTTCCAATCACCAACAAACACACTGCCATTTTTGGCTTTTGAGGAATTACTAATCATTCCCGCTGGTTAGTAACTTCTTCAGCAGCTGCATACATTTTTAATCATCACACCCGGTGGGTGAAACTTCATTAAAGAAGCAACATGAATGTTTTATTTATGCTTGTATCTGATGTTCAGCACTGAGTGCCGCTTGTTCCTCGGTATCTACTATCCATCAATAGATCCCCTACAGAGCTGCTGGGCTCTGGCACGCAGGCTGCTCCACAGCCACAGGATGGATAATTAAAGGTCAATAGGCTAAACACTGTATCAACATTATGGGGGGTTCCTTTTACTATGAGAGAGAACAAAAACATCTGGAAAATAAGCCTATGGGAAGTCATTTTGCTAAAAGCAAAAGCAAAATTAGACATATGTTGCGTAGAGGTGGAAACTACAAAGCCACCAGCTAAAAACATGGAAATACAACCAGTATATTACACAGTCATTCCTCTCCCCAAACACTGGTTTAATCCAGTGTAACAACTGGATATATGATTTTATAGTTCCTAAATGTTAGTAACAGTAACTGAAGTCAGACTGGGAACAAGAGCAAATGCAGCTCAGCAATCCAGAAATACCCCTGACCACAATGTTGTTACTGCTATTTGGTTTTCTCTTTAAACATAAATATAAATTCAAGAATAAATGGCATGGTTTTCCTCTACTAAATGGATAGGTTGGATAAAATATTAACCGCAAGTTCAAAGAAGGTTCTGACCTATAACGACATGTTTAAAAACCCTTTCCATTAATTAATTTAGTTTTCAAAAGCAGGTCATGCGATCCTGCTCTGTGAAAGGTAGGCAAAAATGATTTCTGAGGTAGACAGAATCTGGAAATGACAGCGATTCCTTCTTCATCTCATATTAACGTGTGTGAAAGACGAGACATTAAGGTAAAAGGGGCCAAATATGAGGTTTTGGCTGTTATCCTAACACTATAAATAGGAGACCTTCTTTCCAATCAAACCTCTGACGACAGCACACTGACTTGCTGCTCTACTCCAACAAAGGCCTTCTTATCCCAGCCCCTGT